GGCCCTTTTTATAAAATGCTTACTGTTTATTTGAAAAAAAAAGTGACAAGTTGAAGGTATCAAAAAATGGGGGGGGGGCTTCAATCGGTATTAAATATAACTTGATTGCTGAATTCGAGGTCTGAAACAAATAAAAAAATCTCGATTCGATTCGATTCAAACCGATTGTTATGAGTAAAATGTATTTACACCCTATATAAAATTTTACTAAAGTTTTCTTATGTCTATATGCTAAATCTATCGATTTAGAGAAATTCGCCTCCATTGAAGTAATTATTTTAATATTCTTTTGAATCACTATCAATATCTACTTTTAGTAAGAAAGATATTCAAGGTCCAGCGAATGGTACGTTAAAAGATATTCATATGTATGCTCGAGGTAAAAACCTTTTCTTTTCTTTTCATTATCAATGCTTGTTGATTCTTTAGAAAATTCTGAACACGGCAATATTTCTCATATTCAACAAACCTTAGAAAGTGAAAATAAAACTTGGCAAGATACATTATATAAATTTTATTTTCGTTCCAATCGTCTTTATAAACAAATAATTTATTATGGTTGGCGTTTTGCTGAATTACACGCTTTTAAATTAGTTCTACTTATAATGGTTCTTGCTTCTGTACTTAAAGTAAATGATATATTCTTATTTTTTAAAGTAATAATAATATTTATCTGTTATTAGGTATGTGCCTTTAATGTCATATTAATTATTTTAGTAACAATTGGTTTAACATTATTTCATCTTCGAAAATTAATTAATTCATTAACATTAATTGCTACAGGTCTTTATATTCTTGCATCAATGTGTTATCAATTAGAAATAGCAAAACAACACATAGTTGAAAAAAATTTTTTTGTTAAAAATTGTTCTGAAGTATTAGAAGAAAATTAAATGATTTTATTTTCTTTTTTCTTTTATATATAATATCATTTAGATTGATTCAAATATGAGTTCAATTCCGAATGATACAGTTAAATGGTTTGGTCTTGAATTAACACCTAATATTGATCGATTTATTGGTGTAAGAAAAGAAAATATTTTATGAAGGCAAAGGAAAAAGCGGAATTGTTTTTTTTTTTTTCTTGAATACTTTTTAGCTTTATATATTATTAACAATTTGTTTAACATTTGATGCAATAGTACGATATCGACAAAAACATCGTCGCTTATTATTATCAGTTCAATTTAGTGTTCATCTTGTAGAAAATCGTTTTCCGATTTTATTTGAACCATTTGCATTAAAAAATATGAATGATGATACGTATGAATTTGATATCGTTAATTATAAAGAAGCTGATGAAGGCATTTGCAATTTTTTGAAATATTTAGTAAATTTTATTTTTTATCGATTTGGTTTGGAGGTAAATAAAGAAATGATCTGTTAACGTAACAAAAAAAAAGATTTTATCTTTGTTTAGATATGTTACATAACAACAGTTATTGTTGTTAGTATTCGTCTTGATATGATGGCTGTACTTTATGCTATTTGGCTGGGATTATTTTTAGTAACGAGTAGACGTTTTGCTCAACGAATATGGCTGTGTTATATTATTTTTTTAATCATTTCTTTTCCACTTCAGTATATGGGTACTGTTGGAGCACCACCATTTCTTTGCTTCGGTGAGTACTTTCTATTTTTCAATTAATGTGCCTCTGTGAATAGAGCCCATCAGATCCTAGTCTAAAAATTCTGACTGATCGAGTTCAAATCTGATGAAAATTTTGACGCATATTATAAGATTTTTTGAATTTCTGATTTTATTCATAAAAAGGTTTAATTTAATGTCTAAACCTAGTTAGTTTCGGATTTGGGTCAAAAATTTTGCTGTTAACCTGACCCAACAGACTCTAACTGTAGAATAAAAATAATTCTCACACATAGATTTAAATGAGTTTCAAGTTGTCTTGATCTAGAATAGCGATATAAACAAGGATTTTAACAATAGGGGAAGTAAAACCTGTCGAGTCCAAAGTTCTCAGATCCAGACCCAAACTTGACCCGTTCTGGATCAACTCGATAGGCTCTAAGGAGAAGCGAAAGCTCAAACAGTCGAGTTCTATCTAGAATAGAAGCTCGTTATGAAGTATAATAAGTATGACTCGATTCAGTGATGAGTCAGCAGTGGCGTACGCAGGGGGGGGGGGCGAGGGCCCCCCCCCCCCCCCCTTGAGGCGAAAAAGTCCTGAAGGGGGGTACAGGAAAAAATATTTTCGCGTGATAAAAAATT